AACTCTTAGCATCAAAGTGTTCCGGTAACTGTCCTAGACCACCTAGCACACGGGCAAAAGGATGGATCCTCTTATCTCTCTCTTCTAAAGCCCACCGGTCTTAGTCCATCTCAGAACGCCACCAGGGGCCACAATTTTATTTGTTTCCGAAGCAAAGGGTCTACACAGTTTTCAGTTCATTATCGGGATCTGTATCCTGTTCAGGCACCCCCAGTTTTTCACCTGAGCAATAATCAGATGGGATCCAGGCCCCAGGCCCTCCTCCATTTAGCTAACTGAGCAGTGCCCTTGGAAAAGCTGGCGTTTGACTGTAATCCACATGGTGTCTCAGGGAAGAGAATGGACTGAATTTATTTTGAAGGCCAGACTAGAGTGTGGTCTCATTTCTCCACAGTCTGCCATTAACAGGCATAAGAAGGAGCACACTTTAAGGGGAGGAAAAAAAGCCATTTTTTTCTCAGAATAATTGAGTAAAGATAAAACAAACTGAAAAATCATGTGCCCCAGTATCAGGACGGTTTGGGTTTCTGGTTTGACATATAGTGTCAACTTGAGTACATGTATAGCCCTCACTGCTGGGCCTGTGTTTGGGCTCCAGATTCTGGGATCTTTGAGGAACCACGATGCTATGGCAACGGGGTATCTTTATAAACTACTAGAATGTTAAAGATGGTGCTTATTGTCACTTTTATCATAAAAATGTAAAATTCACAACATGGCATGGGGATCCTGCCCAGAAACCACCCAAGTAGCCAATGGTTTGCACTGTCTTTCGAATAATCTTTTTATTTCGTCCCCTATGAAGTCTGGGAGACAAAGGCAAGAATGCTAATGAGGCCACACTGCATGGAATGGGGTCTTTTCTCTTGAAGGAAGGAATCCTTGAGTTTGCAGATGGTGTCACTAAAATGATTTTTTTTTGAATCAGTGCTTTTAATTGCATCTTGATGGGACTCTCTGGATAAGCTTATGAAAACAACTAGTGACTAGTTCCACCCGTTCTAGCCAAGGGGGCTCTTGTTTCTCCTTCATTTCTCGAAGCTTTACCAGAGAATTCCAAAGCTCCTCCCCTAGCGCCCACATTTACCGCTGGCGAGGCCAGGCCCGCCCTCGGCTCGGGCCAATAGTGAGGAGAGTGACGTACCTCCAAGAGGAAGTGGTCCCGATGGGCCCGAGTGGGGTGCGTGCCGACATGGTGAGACCTCCAGGGGAGCTGGTGTCTGAGTGAGGGAATGCATGTCGTGCTCTCTGATGGGTGTGTCTGAGGTCACAAATCTCCAGCCCAGATTTCCAGGCCTTTCACCGGGTGTCCCGTTAGTGCGGTTACCATAGCAAAAGGAAAATGTTTTAGAGTCTTTCAGCAGCACCACGGAGTGAGCCACATTCTTGATGTTCGAAAACTCACAGGGGGTGTTTGTGACAACAGATTCTTAAAGGGACATCTCTCAATGGCTTCACTGGCTTCTTCCACTTCATAGGGCAGCGGTTCTCAACCTGTGGGTCGCGACCCCTTTGGCGGTCGAACGAACCTTTCACAGACGTCACCTAAGACCATCCTGCATATCAGATATTTACATTACGATTCATAACAGTAGCAACATTACAGTTATGAAGTAGCAACGAAAATAATTCTATGGTTGGGTCACAACATGAGGAACTGTATTTAAAGGGCCAGAAGGTTGAGAACCACTGTCATAGGGGCTGTTTAGGCCAAAATAAATGGGGGTAGAACGTAGGCAACTATGCTGCATTTTGGAGACTAGTTAATATGCTTCAAACACGGGCCCCAAACATACACATTCACACACGTCCACTCAAGCGATGACCCTTGCTGTTAACTGTCAAATCTGTTTTCCCCAGGGCATTTTTCTAGTGTTTCCGAATTGAGTTTATGTCTCTGTTCATTCTCCCTTTGTTTCCTGTTTCACGGCAGCCGCCAAACTATTCTCCCTCCGATTTCTTTTATCCCAAAAGTCTGATCCGACGCACAGGACGGTCCCCGTCGCTGCAGGTTGGCACTGTGTGTGGGCCAGGCTTCTGCCGCTCTCCCTCCCGGCTGCTTCTCCCACGTAACCGCCCGGGCCCCCGCTTCCTCTCACCCCACAGAGTGCACCTCACGACTGACTCTGGCTGTCTTCTCTGATTGGCCTTTTCCTGTAGAGCAGTGGCTACAGCGTTGTCTTGATTAAAGCAGACGCCTTAGAAGCTACCGTGTGGTGCCGTGTTCACACGTTTGTTCATTGAACAAATAATTTGCCGAGCACCAGGCGTAGTGTGGGCTGGATGCTATAACGTAGACTAGTCGGGAAGAGCAGACAGATAGGTACATAATTATGGAAACATATCACAGGAAGTGGATCCATCGCTCAGGGCGGGTCAGATGAGCCAAAGGGTGCAGGAGGCACTTCCTCGAGGCTGGACGGGACAGGGGGGCCCAGAAGGGAACAGCACAAGCATGGTGGTGGGCATAGGCTTGGGTAGGGAGTGGTTTGGCTCATAAACAGGTCGTGAATTAGGAGAAGAAACAAATGAGACCAGCACCTATTCTTCAAAGGCTAAGAGATTTACATGCACTCTCATCCACTCTTTCAGAGAATTCCTGTGTGAGAGCTATCCTTATTCCCATTTTACAGATGGAGGGACTGAGACCTATCATAGTTAAGGAACTTCCCGAGAGTTACCCACCGATAAGTGGAAGGGCTAGGATGAGAACCCATAATTCATGTTCTTTCCACTATTGCACAAGGGGAGAGAGGGAGGAAACTGGGAAGACAGAGAGAGGAGCGCATTAAATGCTGGCTAAGTCTGCTGGCAGCATGACCCGTCAGGGTCCCACAGAAGCAGGGAGCATGCAGCCAGCTCCACAGATGAGCAGTGAGGCAGGAGATGGTGCTCCCAGCACAGATGCGGCCATCTCTAGGCGTCTCTGAGAATCAGTGGAAACCTGGGCCTGTTGAACGACAAAGTGACCTTCCACACCCACCTTTGTGCAGACAAAGCCCATCAGTGGCTCTGCCGGCAACGCCAGAGGGCAGTGCCGCTCCCGCCTGGGCTCCGCGGGCGCCTTTGCCCTGGGCCTGCCAGGCCCGCCCTCAGGAGGAGAGGCGTTTCGGTTTAAACTTCTCCTTGGAATGATTTGAAACGCAGTTAGATGTATCGAGTTCTAAAGTGGAAGGAAATCTTTCAGACATCAACCCCTAAGCTGCTTCATCGGCAGAATGGAGCCAGCCCCCGGCTGCGCAGGCCATCAGCAGGGCCTCCCGCAGACTCCAGGCCTCGGGGGTGTTGCATCCGCCCGCGATGCTGGGTGCCTCCAGCGCAGGCTTGTCATGTGACTTTCATTATGTCCTAACGCTTCAGCTCCAGCGGTGGGGTATCCCATAAAGTGGAATTATAGTCTCTTGAGCCAAAGATCGTCCCCATTGTAAGTGAGAATGCTCAGAATGAGTGCCTCTGCTCGGCAAGAAGGGGCTTTTTCGATCATTTTGGGGTGTCTTCCCCCAATAGGACACTTTATAACTCAGAGTGTTCTATTTCACCATCCTAAGGCAACAACCAGGTGATGCCTCTTCGTGACTTGGAGGGAAAGACCACCATCAAGTGGGAAGTATTTTGGTTTGCACCAGACCCTTACATTTAAGAGATGCGGAGCATGGCGAGAAGTGGTGGGTCAGAGAGAGAGAGAGGTCTGTCTTGAGTAACTTCTCTCTTCCTATCCTGTTATGCAAAGGGGACATCTGATCCCCGTTATCCAGCTGCAAATATCGAGTCACCTGTGGCTCCTTCACAGAAAGCTGGAGCTGTAGACAGTTTGGGGCCTGGGAGAGAAAACAGGCCTTTGGCCGAGGTCCCCTCCACCCCGTGCCTCTGAAGAGCTGGATGTGAAGAGCAGATTGGGTCCATAGGTCACACTCAGTACTGAGCGCTTGCAGTTCCTGCTGCCATTCACTGTAGACAAAGCTCATGATGTTCCCGGGGCCACCTTTGGAATAACTCGAGGGGACACTTGCTTTCATTCTAAAAGTGGGCTTCTCTCTGCGGTGGCTTTGGAGTCCAGAGCATGAAAGGGCTGCCATACAAACTGGATGTGAGATTTTTGTTTATTTTAAAACTAACATTCACCTGTTATACACTCTTACAAACTTGTAAAACAGGGGTCGGCAAAAGTAGGGTCACAGTTCTGAGTACGCAAAACAGAGTTTATTCTGGTATTATTATTTATTACTGTATTATTTTCCATACCAACAACTGTAAACCTACATTCGCCCAACCCTGTATACAAAATACCATGTGTGTATTTTATATAAATATATATTTAATCCACACCCAAGTTTATGTTTTACTGGTTATTTTAGAGAAAGGGCAAGGGAGAAAGGAGAGGGAGAGAGAGAGAAGTATCGATGTATGAGAGAAACGTTGATCTGTAGCCTCCCCTCCCGTATGTGCCCCCACTGTGGATTGGACCACAGCCTAGACATGTGTCCTGACTGGGAATACAACCAGCAATCCTTCAGTGCATGGGGCGATGCTCCAACCAACTGAGCCACACAGGCCGGGGCTCATGTGTATATATTTTTAGACGAGCTCATTAGGGCCTTATGTATGTCTAGAACAAGGAAATCATATTGTGGATTTTTGTTTTATTAAGGTCGCTACAATACATGCTGCGTTGTTCCCAGCTTTTGCCCTGTTCGAATGTTTTGTTCTTGTTGGTCTTTACAATCCATCAGGATGTGTAGGTATCACGATGGAAGCTGGAGAGACAGTGAGGCCTCCTGGCCAGAGTGAAGGCTGATGGCACCTGTGAAACTCTCCGGAGAAGGGGGTTGTGCCCTTTGGCCCCTCCTGCTTCCGCTCAAACACAAATTCCTGTTTCCAAAGTAGTTGGTCTCACCCTTTCTGGAGAGTCAGCGTTTGCAGGTTTTAAAAGTATTCCTTCTTCTGCAGCGACCACCGCCTTGTCTAGTGAACGTCAACAAAAACCCCAGGCAGGTACTGTCACCCTCAGCGGCACTCTGCGTAAGGTGTCCGTCACCTTCCGACAGTAGTTGTCCCGTCGGTGCTCACAAGATCTGCCCCCTCTGGTTGCCAGCTGCCTGTAGTGCCTCCCCTTCTTAGAGCATGGCTTTGGGTGAATGCGAAGTAGATGAAGTAGTTGTTGCATCTGCTCCTGCTGAGTGGGGAGGGCGGGGGCAGCGAGGGGCCTGCCGGACTCGCCTTCTAAGACTGGACGAGGCGGCATGGTGACCATAATCGAAAGTAAATGGAAAATGTCGTTTCTCTGCTCACTCGAAAGGCAGAGCTCTGGTAAGTTTGTTTGTTTTTGTTTTTAATGGTCAATATTTGAAGGATGACAAGAGCTGGAGTCGAAGCATATATCGTCAGTGTAATTTTCAGTCTGTGACTCTGCCCTCTGAGTGGTAGGACAGATGGACAATGTCAACGCCTAGGGGGAATCAGCTGAAAGGTGGTTAGAGGGCTTTTTATTTTTACACAAAGAGTTCATACAGAAAACAGAAAGACGCGCGTTTTCAAGCATCTGCCATTAGTGATCAAATGCCATTTTTTTCTCTTTCTCCTTGAAATGAACTACTTAGTCTACTGGTAAGACCTCTCTTTGTTGGTGGGGTTTTCTTTTTTTATTTGTTTGTTTTGAGGAAAATAAAAATCTTTATTGAAATCAAAAGTGAGTGCTTAACAGTTTGCTAAGGAAATAAATGTAGGTCATACAGGCCCCTGCTTCACCAGAGATTGAGTGAGGACTGCCCATACAACTAGAAGGATCTTATGTTGCCAAATACAATGAAGTGATTTGGCTAATCTTATTGGAAAAATACTCTGAGAGGCCACAGCCATTCACAACCTTTTCTATATCTGTATGCCTTCTCCACCCTTCCCTCGCTCCCCGTTCCCCCTCCCCGCTCCCCTTTTCTGTGTCTGTTTTTCTTCTTCTTCTTTTGGCCAAAGAACTGGATTTTTCCAGCTGTGCTTTCAAGTTGTTGTTTTTCTGCAAAGCTGAAGGAAAAGGTGCTTAAAGAAAAGCTAGTAAATGGCATATGCCTTCAATAGCTTTGTCACAGTCCTTGTTTCCTGTCTCTGTGGGCATGCCGCAGGGGGGAAATATTTGACATTATCTTCATTTATAATGTAGGCAAGAGAGTCATTTTGTTCGTCATAACTTTCACAGAGGATTCCAGAAACAAAGGCTGTTGGCCCAGTGCGTTGTTGAATGCATGTAGAAACTTCTGGGTCTCTGTTGTTAGCCTAGATAGCTGAGTGGGTTGAAATAGTAACTCAGGTTAAATAATGGTGCACAAGGATCATCTACAGAAATGCGGATCATCAGTAAACTTTTGTCACAGCCCAATGGGGTGACGTAGAGTTAAGTTAGTGGTAAAGAAGGGATTTTAAAGAAGGAAAGCATGTCAGGAGTTTGTGCTTTTGAGGTCGACACGTGTTTCCGTTTGAGTGGTTTTGAGCGGCTCTGTTGGGAGACAGCTCTGGGCCTTTTGGTGATGTTTGATCAATAGAGACCCTCACTCAGCAAGTTTTGTGTTAATTAGATGGAAAAATACAGCAGGAAGAGGAAAAGGGGTTCTTTGAACAGTAAACAGGATGTTTATTTAAAATGCAACATATTAAAGTTCTAGATCTTTGGAATCAATATGTAAAATTCCAAATATTGAAGATGGAAACTCTAAGATAATAATTCCGTTCTTCAAAGTACTTTTGTGATCGTCCTAAGGGAGAGACCTCTAATCTCTGCTGATTGAGCAAACACACTTTGGGGGCCACGAGGGAATGTGACAAAAAGCAGCGATCCCGCACGCGCTTTAGCCTTGAGCGCAGGTCAAAGGGCAGCCAGTCACGTCCTGTCCTGGCAGGTGAGACAGGCCCGGGCAAGGTCACCGGTCAGCGGGCAAGGTCACCGGTCAGCACCAGATGCACAGAAGGTCATTAATTACTGGCGCTGAGCCCTAGGCAGGACGGCACTGCCTGGAGGGTACAGAACCACCTCTGAGGGGCCTTCTCAAGAGGGGAGGGCACTTGTCGGCTCCAGGTGGGACCGCGGCCCCAGGGCCTGCGATACTTTACTTAACATCTGAGTTCTGATGGAGCCACCTACGTGTGGCAGCTGCGGAGAGCTCTAGGGAAGTCTGGTCCACGCAGCTCATGTTCTAAAGGACTGTCCTCCCTTGAGCAGAACAGAGTCAGCGCCGTCCTTCATGTTTCAGATTAACTGGCTACGAAACCCAGTCTAGCGTCAAATGTCTGGGAAGTGCCAGGCAAGATGCTTGAGCTTTAGATGTACTGTCTCATTCCTCCCTGTGAAGTGGGGCTGTTACTACCCTCTCCTCCATTCTATAAATGGGGACGTTGAAGCCCAAGGAAGTGGGGGTGGGGGGTAGGGGGAGAGGGAGAGAGAGAGAGAGAGAGGAAAGGAGAGAGAGAGAGAGAGAGAGAGAGGAAAACTTCATGTAATGTCACACAGCCAGTAGAGCCAAGATTTTGAACTAGCCTTTTCGCCTCGCTATATTACAGGATACAAAGTTGTGTTTTATCCCATTAGTTCATTTTAGACAGGAAAGCAGAGAAGGGCTATTGTGCGAAAATAGGCAAGGGAGACTGTAGTCCACCCATACACAAGATGCCTGCGGAAGTGACTGTCACAGGGAGATCGGGAGATGGGGATGCAGCAGAAGCAAACAGTGATGAGCGCAGTGAAAGGAAGAGCCGTGCTGAACCCCCAAGAGACCTGAGCGTGTCTCAAACATCGCTAAGGAGTCCGAGGACGCACACGGCGCGCCAGTGATCTCCAGCAAGAGCCCGAGCCTGGGTGGAGGTGGTGGACATTGACTTGACCTTGAAAACTATCTGATTCTAAAACTCTAAAATATTTACTTTGGAAGCAGAGACTCTTGGGCAGGGGTATACAGATTGGAAGTGATTCTGATCTGAATTACCAGTAAAGAATCAAATGAGACAATAAAAATTCAGGTTGGTGGATAACTCTTAAACCCTTTAACCCAGCAATATATTAGTATATGAGCCAGGTAGATGCTTCTGAGAACGCTGACATAGCTCACTGGACCGTCTGATCCAGTGAGGGAGCAAGGCCGAGAGAGACCGAGCGGAAACAGGCTGGCTCAGCCACGGGGCCTCTTCTCTTCCAGGGAAGAGAGCATTAGAGACCCTCCCGACGTGCACTCGTGTTCTCCAGCTGTGTTCCTGTGAGCACACGCAGGGCAGGAGAGAACAGAGCACTGCGGAGCCAGCCCAGGTGCATTGTTACAGCAAAGGCAGAAAGAATCCCTGACCCACATTTGGCAAAAAGTCAGGATGAGGAACGTGGGCGAGACCCCCAGGCTCAGTGTGCACGTGGTCATTCACATGGTGTCCTAGATGCTGTTCATGAAAACAGGCCTTTGTCATAGCAACGCCAGTAACTGGAGACATCTGACTGTCCTGCATCCTCCCCTGCCCCACCCCAGCGCAGCCAGCCAGTGTGGGGTCCTCACCCCACCCCAGCACAGCCAGCCAGTGTGGGGTCCTCACCCCTCCCCAGCACAGCCAGCCAGTGTGGGGTCCTCACCCCACCCAGCACAGCGGGCCAGTGTGGGGTTCCTACCCCACCCAGCACAGAACACTAGAGCAGGGTTCTCACCCCACCCAGCATGGGGAGCTAGTGGCAATAAAAGTATTTTCCGTTTGCAGGCACTCTTTTCTGCTACTTGATCTCAATGTTTTTCTTTATTTCCACCTCCCCTGTTCCATAGTATGTTGATGGGAAATAAATGGCCCCAGTTACCTTATGCTCGGGGGGGGGACTTTAGTGCAGGATGAAGAGCTTGGGCTGTCCTCCGGGTTCAGATCCTGACACTCGCCTGCCTGTGTGGCTTGGAGCATGTGTCCTTTTTCCTCATCTGTGGAGTAAGCAACCGGCCTCACGGGGCTATTGAATTTTTAAATGAGACCAGCCTGGGAAGGGCTGCCGCACAGTGAGTGCGCAATAACTATTAGCTGCTCTTAGCATTCTCCTGTTGTTCCTTAGGAGGTTTCACTTTGACATTGGGTTTGGCCAATAGTAGCTCCGGGTCACTGGAAGCTGAGGACAGCCTGTGGCTCATGTGTGCCCCGCAGGGGGCGCATTCGCTCAGCTTTCCCCAGGCTGGCGTCTCTTCTTAATGGAGGGCTGGCCTTGGTGTCACTTCTGTGTGTTGATTAGGAAATGGATCAAGGAAACGGACTTGCGAGTAGTGTAATTATGTAAATCCTTTCTCAATATACTCAGATTGGGGCATTTTCTCATATTGCGACATGCCCGTGGCTGGAAAATTGTAACTAGAAGGAAAGTGCTTACATGCGGCAGGCCTTGGGGCCTGGCACAGGCCCACCTGTGCACGGTGAGAGTCCCCACCCGCCCTCCTGTCTCAGAGACCGGAGACCTGGCTGAGACGATCAGTGCTTCCTATCAGAGTGAGTCCAGTCACTGCCGGCCTTGTGTGGGCCGGTGAGGTGAGGGGTGTGGTGGGGCGGCTCTCACCATTTCAGAGCTGAGTTACTTAGTGATGCCATACCCTGGTTCTTAGGAGTCCTTTTCACTCGGTGACATTCCTATTCCAGGTGCTAAACAGCAGTGGAAACTTCCCTAAAGTAGATCTAGAACTTACCTTCCCCAAGACAGAGCTACAAGGAGAGCAGGGCCTCCGAGACCAGGCCTTTTCCAGAAGGGGCCGAGCTGCGGTAGGAGGCAGTGAGTCCGGCTCATGCATTTCCCTCCCGCCCCTGTCACCACAGGGTTCTCTAAACATCTGCTCTAAAGAGGAGTTTCTCTTATCTTCCCTAGCGGCTGACCGGTATAACTGGGCTCAAATTATGCCTTTAATATAAGTCAAGTGCCCACACACAGAGTGTTTGTTTAAAGTTAATTCATTCTAGCTCATTCCCTCAACAAATATGTGCATCCTCTTTGTACTTGTGCAAATCATTGGGCATATGCTGTGAAAAAATAAACCCTATGTGGACAGAGATCACAACTAAAGTTAATGAGGGAGATAGGCATGATGCAAGGAAACCAATAACCATGAAGTTATACATTTTATTCCTGAAGGAGAAGAGTGGCACTATGAGAAAATAACCAGGGCAGTCAGCTCCGGATTGAAAAGTCAGGGAGGGCTTCTTTGAGGAGGTGATACTTAAGCTAAGACTGAAGGAGGGGGAAAAATCAACTAAGTAACATTGGGGCTCAGGGCATTTCAGACAGAGGGAGCAGCGAGGTAAGAGCCCTGAGCATGCACCATGTCCTGTGAGCGATGGAGTAGCAGAGAACAGCAGGGATCAAATCCTGACGCCCAGGAGTGTGATTTTGTTCTAAGAGGACACTGAGGCCAAAGCAGGATGGTGATGATCCAAATTATGTTCTTACTGGGTACCAAGTAGATTCAAAAGGAGCAAGAATGAAGGCAGAACCCCACAGAGGAGGCCATGGTCACAGTCGAGATGCGCAGGTGGTGGCAGTGGGTTGTGGCAATGCAGACAGAGAAACGTGCTTGCAGGCAGAGCCGGGACCTGTAGGGCACAAGGGAGAGAAGGTAGAAAGCACCCCCACCCCCTGCACTTTCACAGCTGACTGTGCAGCCAGCTATCCACCTTTCTCTCCAGGTTATTCAGTAAAGTTACAAATCTTCCCTTTCTTAACCAGCTTGGTTTTGAGCAAAGCTTAGGGACTCAGGCCAGTCTTGAATCTGCAGCCATGGCCTGAAATCTTACACGTCACTGTCTTTCACAGCCCACCAGGACTTCCTCCGAAAGCATCTATTCCAGACCAGGCTCCAGCATCCCAGGGTCCCCGGGCCACACTATCTATGTAAGTCTCCGCTTCTGGAAGGGACTTCCGGGACAGGCGAGGCAGCCGTCGTCGTAGTGGATGGATAATGCAAAATGGAACAATTCAAAACGACTTCTGTTTCTCTTCTGAGACCATTTTCATTTTTGTAGATCAGCCTTCTCAATCATGTACTCCTTCAGGAACTTAAATTTATCTGTGAACCTGACCATCCTGAGCTATCAAGTAGATGATCCATAACATGCAGAAATACAATGCAGGACTTAAAAACTATTCTGCCTAGCTTGCAGCTAGATATTTGGGGATTAATGATACACTTACTTTATTTATTTATTTATTTATTTATTTATTTATTTTTGGTTAATCCTCACCTGAGTGTTTTTTTGCATTGAGTCAATAAGAAAATAAGGAAGGAAGGGAGGGAGGAAGAGAGAGAAGGAAACATCAATATGAGAAAAACACATTGTATGGTTGCTTCCACACACCCCGACCAGGGCCAGGGATCAAACCTGCAGCCCAGGTACATGCCCTTGGCCAGGAATCGAATCTGAGACACTTTGGTGTGCACACCAACGCTCTAACCATTGAGCACCCGGGCCAGGGCAAATTATACACTTTATATTGAGTAGTCTTAAATTCTGCCACCATGGTATTTCAGTACTTAGTTACTGGTTAAATATGCAGTTACTGATTTTAGCCAGGTGGGAGTTTTCCTTCTCTGGAGTAAACTGAGGGAAATACCCTAAAGGTGTACAGGCTTCTGTACTTGATGAATTCCATATAGACTTTTTCCTAAGCTTTTGGTGACTTATAGTTTTAATGTGATTAACATATAAGGGGCAACTTTCTAGAGGTCACCTGTGCTAAGCTAGGTGTTTTGTTTTTGCCTATTTTTAAGGTTGTCACTTTTTGAGCCCGTAATGAAAAGCACAGACAGCAGTTCCCCGGAGGTGAGACTGCAGAGTAACCTTTCTCTCTGCTCTTTGCCAGGCAAAAGTGGACAACGAAATCCTGGATTACAAGGACTTAGCAGCCATTCCCAAGGTCAAGGCGATTTATGATATCGAACGTCCAGATCTTATTACCTATGAGCCTTTCTACACTTCCGGCTATGATGACAAGCAGGAGAGACAGAGCCAGGGGGAGGTAAGAAGTTCCTACAAGTTTCGAGTCGTGCAACAGCTTACGTCATGTGTATAAGAACTACCAGTTGGAATCTAGGCCAGTCAGAGGGTCCTTTTGATTGCACATTATTCACAGCCTTCCATCCCAGGTGCTTTAAGGTCCTCAAAAACCTGTGCTTGGCCTCAGGAGGTTACAGAGAGGCAGGGGAGCAGACCAACCGCACGAAAACCAGGGGAAGGATGAGGAAGCATTCATACCTGGTGGTAGGATAGAGGAGCTGGCCTGCTGAGAAGGAGGCCGAGCTCACAGGGGAGTCTGTGAGCTGCACAGAAGGAATAAGGCAGGTAGGGTCTTCTGGGTGGGGATGGCGGCGTGGGGAGGTCTGGTCTTGGGGCCAGCTGAACTATATTTATGGGGATCATGAGGAGAGAGAGTACACCCTGCAATTTTGACAGCTGCAGTTTTTAACACAGGGTGATAATTAGTATGTGCAAGAATAGAAGAATTTCGAGAGATGGTGCCACAATATAGTACAGGCGTATGCGCCAGGGTTCTGGAATCAAATCACCCGGCGTAACCTGGGCACTCCACATGCTGGTGGCATGACGTTAGCCATGTGACAACCATGGTGACCTAGTTTCTTCACCTGCACAACAGGGTCATGACAGAATCTCCCTCCGGGTGACAGTGAGGGTTAAATTAACTACCAACTCAAGATTAATATATATATCATATCTAAGCAATGTATTATCTGTGAACGCTCATGTATATGAACTAACCTTTTGTAGCAGTTAGCAGAGAGCTAGGCTGGCGGTGAATATTCAGCCGTGACCATTGTTACTGTGGTTTGTAACTGTCCCCTAGGGGTGTGCTAATGCTTTTCCAGCCGACCACCCTGCTGCTGGGCCAGCACCACTGAGCCCGGGGGCCTCCCCCCGCCTCCCCCCACCGGGGCTCGGAGTTTCCTGCTGTCATCTCCTACCCAGGTCTCTGGGCTCTACTGTATTTCCCCTGGACTAAATTATTCTTCCCTCTAAATTTGTTTCCCTGTTATTACACCGGAATCACGTACACAGTAGTTTGAGTTCACTCAAGTTCTGGTCTGAAATCAGCCATTCAGCCAAGGTGGAAACGGACTGTACATGTAACAGCGCACAGTGCCGTGCGATCTTAGATGAAGAAAAGGCATGAAAATGGGATTTTGTTTAATTTGTTCACAATTATTACATAATATTTATTTTGTAATTATATTTACTTACAGTCCTATTTCTGTTTATTTAGAAGTACCATATATTGTTCATTTTTGTTTATTTTCCGATCTGGGTTTTACTCTGCAATTGAAATGGTCGGTTGGGCAGGGAAAGTGATATCCGTTTTCACATAGTGCCATCTAGTGGTCAAATAGGCATAGCTGCACCTGCGGCCACTCAAATGCAGCTGTAGGAGCAACTTGATGATGTATTCCTTCAGTTATTAACACTTCCTTCATAGAATCCTTATACTGCCATTCTAGAAACACCGGAGGAGTAAACTTGAAATTCTGGGTGCCTTAGAAAGCAGGGGTAGGGCGGAGCCTGAAGGTGAATGGTGGTCAGGTTGGCAAGGCCACCAGGGCAGGATGCCACAGACCCGGTCCTTACAGGCCTGTTTCGGTCATCAAACCATTGTATGTGATTGCTGTGCTTATCATTTGGTTAATAATCATGTTCACTGACTTCTGTAGACACTGTAACTCAAAGCAGTAAACAGCACTGGTTGAGCATAGAGGGGGAATAACTCCCATTTGTCTAGCTCAACCACATATATTTATCAAAACCCGTGGTTCTTAGGCAGAAACATGTGCCACAGTCACCCGGGAACTATGTGCCTGCTGAGCCCCATTCTCAACTCACTGCATCAGGAACGGGGGCAGGCAAGGGGTGCAGGCACGAGTATTTGGAATAATGTTTCCAGGTGATGCTGACATACAACACTGACAACTGACAAGTTAATAAACATAGTGAATTTTAATTCTCTCTTATTCTTCTAGTCTCCAAGGACTTTGTCTCCTACTCCATCCGCAGAAGTAAGTGCCATTCTTGAAATTTATAGTGGGTGGAGCTGGGGAGTTGCTCAGACCTGTCCTAGCCTAGGATTTGGGGGAAAGGACATTAAATAAAAGAACAGAAAAAAACTGTGCACGAGATTATGATGAATTAGAGGCCTGGTGCACAAAATATGTGCACCTGGGCGGGGGGCGGGGGGGGGGTCCCTCGGTCTGGCCTGCACCCTCTCACAGTCCAGGAGCCCTTGGGGGATGTCTGACTGCCACAGAGGCGAGAGAGGCTACCATCGCTGTGCTCGCCAGCCATGAGCCCAGCTTCTGGTTGAGCGATTCACCCCCTGTGGGAACGCACTGACCACCAGGGGGCAGCTCCTGCGTTGAGCATCTGCCCCCCTGGTGTTCAGTGTGCATCATAGCAACCAGTCATTCCACCGTTCGGTCGATTTGTATATTAGCCTTTTATTATATAGGCTGTAGGCTTCCTCGCAGGTAAGATAGGGTTAAAGGCACAGCAGTAAAGTTCTCTTTACTGGAGACTGTGGTAAAATCAGCCTATGTTTCTGAGTGGTAGGAAGGGTCTACAGGGAGTGAGGCCACTTGTCCCAACATGAGGCTCTCTCCCCTTATCCATAGTTACCCAAATCCTAGCAGACTGGATTATCTGAAATGGCCAACAGTGGTCATAGTGTGTCCTGTGAACAGCCACCTTCATAGGAGGCCACACCTTTTAGCCTAAAATAAATTATCTTTTCCCCCTTCTCTGGGTAAACAGACTTCACAGTGGCTGTAGTACCGCTCCCAAAATATAACAACTCCCCCACACTGTACCCCACATCCCAGTGTCAGGAGTTTCTAGGCTTACCCTTCCCCCACATTCACTACCTACTTGGTGACCAGTGGCTTTCGGTCGTCCCTACATAATTTTCCTTTGTGGGGTGGCTCTGAGACTAGTGGCCCAAGCTCAGACCAGCCCAGACCCGAGCACGGTCCAGCACCAAGTCTGCCCCAGGCCTTTCTTTCATTGCAGCCATTACAGCTAATAACCAAGGGACTGCGTGTCTATTGTGCTTTCTATTATTTTGCATTTCCTTAGGTATCCAATGAGCAAACTCCTCCGGAGTTAGATCTAGCCCCACCTAAAAATAACAATAAATAAAATCAATAGTCTTGTCTCAAAACCAAGCAACTTTCTGAATCTTCAACATAAAACTGAACTAATCTTAAGTTATTGCTATAACTTGATACAGGAAAAACTCGGTAATATTCTGATGGTCTGTGGCTGCGGGCTGTGAATAATCAATTTCTATTAGCATTCTGATCATTACAGCTGAGGTTATGAAGAATTAACTTCTCTTATTGAACGGTTGCAAGATTCAGGCACATAATCTGGGGACTTTTTGTTTCATTGTTGTTTTTATTTGATTTATTGTGACAGCCCATTAGGATCAAGCCAAAGCCTCTTGCCATGTGCTTTCAGATTTCACGCAGCCCTAGGTGCTGAGGTGTTAACATAGTCATTGCTCACACACGCTTCCCACCTTCTACTATGTCAGCAGAAACTTCAGGGGTCAACAAATTCCTGAAATGCCAAGCATTCTAGTACTCATCCTTTAAACAGTGATCTATTACGTTGATGCCTGGGGCTTTTTGCCCTTTATTAGGTATAAAGGGCAAAAATATAGAAATAATATATTATATTCTAGACTTGGACATGGGTGACATGCTGATGGTGTTATTATGCCCTCATTTACTTAATTGCTCCCTAACTTGCTAAGCATGTAATACAAAGTTTGCTCCTTAAAAATGGTGTTATTTTAAATATCTTTGAGTAAATTCTAAAGATCATTTAAAGA